GACACTGAGGGTTGCGATCCGTTGCCGGACACGGAAAAAGACAAAAAAAAAAAAAAGAACTTTGTTAATTTTATCTTTTCAAAGAACCAACCTTTGGCCTCATCTGTTTTTCTCTGTTGTTCTATATGTATCTCTGCTGTAATCTTTATTTCCTTTCTTCTACTAGCTTTGGATTAGTTTGTTCTCTTTTTCCCTACTTCCTTAGTATATACAGTTAGGTAACTGACTGAAGGTGTTCTTTTCAAATGTTGTTTCCCTTGTGATTACGTATTTGACCCTTTGGATGTTGAGAGTGTGTTGTTTAATTTCTGCATTGTGAATTTTACAGTTTTCCTTTTGTTATTTATTTCCAATTTCAGTCATTGTGTTGGAAAAGATATTTTGTATTCTTTTAATGTTTATTAAGACTTGTTTTGTGATCTAACATACAGTATATTCTGCAGAATGTTCCATGTGTACTTGAAAAGAATGTGCACTCTGCTGTTGTTTGGTGGAGTATTCTGTAGATGTGGGTTAGGGCTAATTGGCTTTTGGTGTTGTTCAAGTCTTCTCCTTCCTATTTTCTTCTGTATGGTTGTTCTATCCATTATTGACAGTGAAGTATTAAAGCCTCCAACTATTATTGTACAATTGTCTATTTCTCCCTTCAATTCTGTTTGCTTCATATAATTTGGGTCTTTGTTGTTAGGTTTGTATATATTTATAATCGTTCTATCTTCTTGATGACTATCCATGTATAATGTCTTTCTTTGTCTTTTGTAACTCTTTTTATTTAAAATCTATTTTGTCTGATAATAATATGAGGGTGCTTCAAAAAGTTCATGGAAAGATTTATATTATCTTTTAATTCTATTTTTCCACAAACTTTTTGAAGTACCTGCATATATACCCCTGCTCTCTTTTGGTTACTAGTTGCATGGAATATCTTTTTCCACCATTTTACTCTTAGCTTCTTTGTATCTTTGTATCTAAAGTAAGTCTCTTGTAGACAGCATACAAATGGTCCATCATTCATTCTGTGAATTCTGCTTATCCATTGTAGAGTTTCATCCATTTTACATTTAAAGTAAGTACAGGTAAGGAGGGAGTTCTACCATTTAACTATTTGTTTTCTGTATGTCTTATAGGCTTTCGTTTCTCAATTCTTCCATTACTGTCTTTAAAAAGTTTTAGTTGGTTTTTTGCTATGTACAACTTTTATTCCCTTTCTTTTTACTTTTCTGTATATATTTTAGTTATTTTCTTAGTGGTTACCTTAGGGATTACAATTAGCATCTTAACCTTATAACAATCTACTTTAAATAATACTAACTTTGTTTCAATAGTATAGTAACACTCTGCTCCAGTACATCTCTCCCCCCTTTATATAGTTTTTGTCACAGATTGCATCTTTATATATTGTGTGCCCATTAAAGTAGATTTATAATTACTGTGTAATGCATTTTCCTTCTAAGTCATATGGAGAGAAAAAGGAATTATAAACTAAAATTATAATATATTTACTTATATAAATATGTCTTCATTTGACTTTGAGTTACTGTCTATTATCCTTTCATTTTAGCCTAGAGAACTCTGTTTAGCATTTCTTATAGGGAAGATCTATCAGTAATGACCTCTCTTCATTTTTGTTTAGCCAGGAGCCTTAATTTCTCCTTTCTTTTTAAAGTATAGAATTCTTGGTTGATAGTTTGTTCTTTCCAAATTTTAAATATGTTATCCCACTGCTTTGAGTCTCCCTGGTCTCTGATGAAAAATAAGCTGTTAATCTTATTAAGGATCCCTCATAAGTGATGAAATGCTCCTCTCTTCCTGCCTTCAAGATACTCTATTTTTCTTTGGCTTTTGACAATTTGACTATAATATATCTCAGTGTGGATCTCTTTTATTTTGTTGTGCTTGGAGTTCCATGAGCTTCTTGAATGTGTAGATTCATGTCTTTCATGAAATTTGGGTTTTGGCTGTTATTTTTTCAAATATTTTTCTGTCTCTTTCTCTTTCTCTCTTCTTCTGTGACTCCCATAATGCATTTCTTGGTCTACTTAATGGTATACCACAGATCCCTTAGGCTTTGTATACTTTTCCTTATTCTTTTTCTCTTTCTGCTCTTCATACTAGATAATTTCAATCGTAGTGTTTCAGGTTTGCTAATTCTTTATTTTTTCTGCTCAAATCTGCTATTGAGCCCCTCTGGTGAATTTTTAAATGTTTTATTATATTTTTATTTGGTCTCTTTTATAATACCTATCTGTTGATATTCTCATTTTGTTCATTTATCATTTTTTCTGTGTTTCATTTTGTTTTTGTCCATGTCTTCCTTTAGTTTTTTGAGACAGTTGATTTAAAGTCTTTGTTTAGTAAGCTCAATGTCTAGGCTTCCTCAGGGATGGTTTCTGTCATTTAAATGTTTTTTCCTGTGAATGGGCCATATCCTCCTGTTTTATTTTCTTCAGATTTTAGTTCACTAAATTTCTTTTTGTGTCTAAGCTGCTGTTAAACCTGTCACTGAGTTTCTAATTTGGGGTATTATATTTTTCAGTTGAAAAGTTCCTATTTGTTTTCCCCTCATATCTGCTGTATCCTTTAAAAAAAAAAAAAAAGTTCCCGACAGTTTGCCAAAATTCTCCATCTTGTATTTCCTTCACACAATTTATATAGTTTTTTTCTCTTTCATCTAGTTTTTCTTTATATTGCCTTGTCTTTTCTTGTGACTTTTAAAATATTGTATGTAGGACATTGTGTTTGAAAATTTATTTGCAAAATAATTTGAAGCCTGGTAAGAGGTTTCTCATTATTGTTTTAATTTGTCTTTGAGCACCTTTTCATATTCTTATCAGCCATCTTTTGTAAAGTACCTGGTCAAGGATAGTGACCATTTAAAAGTTGATCTGTTTATATTTTTATTATTGATTTGTGGGAATTCATTATATATCTATTGATATATATATACACACACACGTATGCACACACATTTATATGTATACACATATATATGTATATATATGATATGTTCTACTAGTCTGTGGCTTGGTTTTTCACTTAATGGTGAAAGTGAAATGGCAGAAGTTTTGTTTTGCTTTTTCCAGAAGCTTCATAGTTAGCTATTGCATTCAGGCCCATGAGCCATCTCAAATCAACTTTTGCGTGTGGTTTGATGTAGGGGTCAATCTGATTTCTCTCTGAATGAATATCTGGTTGTTTCAGCACCTTCCTTTTCACACTGAATTGCATTGAATTGCACATACATTTGTCACGTGACCATATCTGTGTAGGTCCATGTCTGAATTTGCTATTTCGTTCCCATTCACCATTCTCTTATCCTTATGGCAACACCACACTCTTAAATACTGTAGCTTTATAAGTTTAATATTTTGTAGGGAAGGTCCTCCAATGTTGATTTTCTTCAAAAATTGATTTTTTTCTAGGTCCTTAATATTTGTGTATATGTTTTAGGAACATCCTGTCACTTTCTACAAGATAACCCACTGGGATATTGACTGGGAGTGTATTAAGTCTGTTGATCAGCTGGGTGAGATTTTATATATTAACAATATTGTGTATTCCTGTGAACATGGTCTCTCTGTTTATTTACATCTTTTTTATTTCTCTTCAGTGTAGTGATGTTATACACCTTTCATTAAATTTATCCCTATGTAATTGATGTTTTGGAATGCTGTTATGAATTATATTGTTCTTTAAATTTCATTTTCCAGTTGTATGTTGCTAGTATTTAGAAATGTAGTTGATTTTTGTACATTGTTTCCTGCAATCTTGCTAAATTTGCTTGTAGTTCTAGACATTGGTTTGTCCATTCTTGTGGGTTTTCCCATACATAATCTTGTCACCCACAGATAAGAACAGTTTTCTTTTCTCTTTCCAGCCTGTACCTTTTATTACTTTTCTTGCCTTTTCTGGTACTTCCCTGGCAGTGTTGACTAAAAGCATGGAAGGAGCCTTGGGGGGAGCACTCTCTCCCTCTCTTCATCGCTCTCCAATCAGCAAGGGCTCAGCTGTCGATTGTTAGAGGCCCTGTACAGGTGGAGGAATCTCCCTGGAGTGAAGTGTGGTGATTCCAGGGAGACAGCAGCCTTGCATTCCTGGGACAAACCCCACTTGGTTGTGATGTTTTGTCTTTTTTATAGTTGCTGGATTTGACTTGCCAACATTTTGTGTAGGGTGTGTGAAGGCTATTGGTCTATGACATCCTTTCTTGCAGTAGCCTTGTCAGATTTCTGGATCTCACTGGCTGGTCTCGTGACCATCGGTCGCTCCTTTCCTGTTGGCTGCTCCTTTCCCTGCCCCTGCACTGATTCTCTGCTGGCCTGAGAGTGTGGAGGGGCTGCCTGCCATGCCTCCCTGCACTCTTGCTTTGCCAGGCACTAGGGCACATACCTCTGCACAGCTCCTGGGCTGTTTTGGTTTCCCCAGGGGCACTGACCAGTCCAGCAGGAGGCCCTTGTGTCAGCTTAGTGGAGGGGTATGAGTTGCTTATGCCCCTTGGGGGCCAGGCCCCGGGTCCTGCTCTGAGGCCTACTCTGGACCATGGACAGCCCTGGTGTGTGGCCCAGAGGAAAGCAGCCCAAAGGTGGCCAGGTTGCAGCTTTGGGGAGCAACTGAGGGAGAGCAGCTGCCTCCTGGCCCCGTGCTGTCATCCCGTTGTCATCCCTGAGAGGGTGCTTGTCTATGGCGTGTCCAGGTGTGTCCCAGGACCACTCTCTCCTGAGGATGGAGAAACCACAGAGACCCGGGGAGCCAGTAGGGGAGGCCAGCTGATTGCAGCCATGTGTATCTTCCTCTCTTTGTCTCTGTGTCTCATAGATGACTGCACCCAGAGTAGGAGTGGGGATGCCACGTCTGGCCCCGGTGCCGGGCCCTCTGTCTACCGCAGCTATTCCGGGAGCCGCCCCAGCCTTGCGTGTGCCCACACCAGGTACTGCCCTCTCCAGCCTCCCAGTCCCGCCCTGTGTCCTGCCTCTGGATCAGTACGGAAGCCTGCTCCCACCTTCAGTATCCTGGGGGCCCTGGGCAGCGCAGGTGGGCCAGCTGGGGGTGCAGGGCAGCTGGAGCCCCACCCGGGGGCCCATGCTGCCTGCGTTCTTGCAGCCACCTGTGGTCAGCGCACCCGGCCCTGGGCTGCGGATCACATAGCCTCTGCCCTGTCCCTGCCAGATGGAGTGCTCTGAGCTGTACAGAGGAATCAGGCTGTGGTGTGGCTTCTGAGTCCCTCCCCTTCCTGCTGAGGGCAAGTGCCCAGCCTCGCGTGGGCGGCAGGACACATTTCCTTTCTCACTTCAGATCCCGTTCGCCCTTAGATCCCCACCATGTACATGCGCGGTCTTCACACCCGCCTCGTGTACTTGAGTTGACAGTCAGAACCTTGTCATCACCCTGCAGAAGTACAGTGCCTTGAATTCCAGCTTTTCCATTCCCTGGTGGAAAGAGACGTTAAAAAAAAAAAAAATTATCAGAAAAGGTGTATTTCATTTATAATTGGTTTGTGCCATTGATAGCTTTATTTACTGTTTTAAGTTGCAGAGATGTGTTACAGATGTGAAACTGAGGTCTAATCTTTAGTTTTCTGTTGTAAATGCCTTTAAAAAAAATTGAATTTGTGACCTTGAACATTGAAGAGCTGCAAATACAAGGCAGTTCTGTTTAGTCCTCAGTGGAGCAGTCTCCCTGGCCTTGTTCAGGGACTGAGGGACACAGACACGCGGACAGGGCACGTTAGAGGTAGAGGGTCTCTCAGTAAGGAATGTCGGCAGCTTTGTTTGGCTATGAGGAACCTGCCAGAAAACACTCAGTAAGCAAAGAGATAAGAGTGTGTCCAGTGCAGAGACTTCACCCTGCAGGGAAAAGCGCAGCCCCTTGGGCTTAGGGGTCCTGCCCTCCCCTGGCACGCAGACCGTTCTGTAGGCCACCCCTAAGGCCCATCTGCTGAGGGCAGGATCGTTCTTCTCCTGGAGATTTCCATGGGACTCATCCCATACCAGCACCAAACAGCCCCAGGGTGGGAGGCGAAGGCCCGGTGGCCTCCTCCACAGGCAGATGTTTCCAGCTCCGGCTGGAAGGCAGGTGGCCTGGGGCTGCCCAGCTGTGAATTGTAGAGTTCTGTGTACTTATTAAAAGTGGCTACATTATTTGTTTAAATTTATTATTCCATCAATTCAGTTAGAATTGAATTTTGTAGGTGATTATCCAGAATCTTCTGCCAGGGCACAATGCTGTAGTAAGAGATTTCTGTTCTCTGTGACGGGCACTCTGTCCATCTGGTTCGAGAATCTCATGGGCCTATGTTTGAGTGAATGGAGGCCACTCTCTCTCCTTCTTCCCCTCTCAGTGTTAGTCTTTTCCTTATCCCTGATGGCCAGTGGCATGGAATCCCCAAGAGATTGTACATATGAAGGAGAAAAATAAACATTTTTGTCTGAAAACAGTGTGAAACAACATCTTTTTCTTCCTCTCTGTCCATGTAAAACAAAACCGTCCAGCCTCATAGAGAGCTCAGGAGTGGGGTGGCCCAGGCGGGCAGGTGGAACTGCCCTGCCGTGTCCTGGGCTCAACTCTGTGCCCCTAGCCGTGTTGCCCACACCTCGGGAGGAGGGCACTGAGGAGGCTGGGGACTGAGTGATGGGCTAGACCAGACCCGGCATGGGGGGACAGTGCAGGGTGTCTGGAGGGGCTGCATGTTCCCCAACGCTGCACCCCATGCTGCATGTGACCTGGGTCCAGGGAATGGCCGGGCACTGCTGGCTCCAGGCCTGCGTCAGGCTGTGAGCTTGGCTTCCAGCCACTGTCCACCTGAATTACATTTCACAGTGCCATGGGCTCTGCCCGTGATGGAGGGAGGGAGGAATCTGTGGTCGGTTAAACAGCATCTCCAACCCCTGTGCACCTGGGGGCCGTCTCCCAGAAAGCCCAGATCGCATGACTCATCCTGGCCCCTGGAGAACTGAGCTTGGGGGTGGTGGGGGTCCTCTGTCAGGTTCTCAGCTTGTCCAGTGGAGGACTTGGGGCCGGGGTCGCCCAAGAGTCATATGTGAGGGACGTTGGCTTTTCTGGTAGGCACAGGGCCTTAGGGAAGGTAGCAGTACGGAGGGAGACCCGCCCTGCGGGGGCTTAGTGCGTGGTCCAGCCCACCCTTCTGTGATGGCCTCATACTGACAGCTTTCAATCCTGCACATGCATCACAGGCCTGACCCTGATCAAACTGAGGGTGGTAGTGTCCCCTGCCCTGTCTGGCTGGGGGTGGCTGCCTTGACAGTCTGTGCCTCATTCCCCGGAGGTAAGAGTCATGCCTCTGTGCAGAGGGGGACGGGATGCTCCGTCCCAGACCCAGTGTAGCCCCGCTGCTGCACTCGCTGCCTTGTCTCAGCGCCGGCCTGGGGGAGGCAGGGAGTTTGGGGTTGCTGTTCCCTCACTGCTCCCCATGTGCTCCAGCCCGTGCAGGAGCTGGGTGGCCCCAGTTCAGCATGCCGGCTGGTCACAGAGAAGACGACGGCCCAGGTGACAGGCTGCAGGTCTGTGTCCTGGACAGGACTCTGCACAGCGTGTAGGTTGTGGCTGGGCTGCCCATGCCCTGGTATGGCCATCCATGCCTCTTCCGTTTTGGCAGCTCTCGAGCAGCCAGCGGCGGGTGGGCCTGTACTGAGTGGTGGTTTTGTTTTCTAGATCCTGAGAGTGAGAAGCCGGACTGACCCACGCAGATGCCAGGCCCCGCGTCGTGTTGTCAAGCAGAGAAGTGATGGGACCTTCAGGGCCAGCCGGCTCCTCGAGTCCAGTTCACGCTGTTTTGTAATCACTTTCTAAGAATTTTTTATCCACAATTGGAAACACAAATGTACTGCAAGAATAAAAAAATATTTTGGGGGAGAAAGGACTTTGGTTTTTCAAACTCTTTCTCCTTTCTAGTGGCCCTCAGACAGGCAGGTGACTCGGAAGTGATGGGCACTGGGGGGAGAGGGGGAATCTTCCCAGGAACCCATGGCCTGAGGCAGCCATTCTCTGCAGGACCTTGGATGCACTGGACCCTGGGAAGCTGATCTCCAAGTCTCCCCCTGCTCCAGACTCTGCACAGACTCCTGGCTTTTGCCCATATAGCAGGCAGCATGGCCTTCCCTCTAGTCTTTGGAGGCTGTTTTAGTCCATTTTGTGTTGCTATAACAGTATACCTGAGACTGGGTAATTTATAAGGAAAAAAGGTTTATTTGGCTTATGATTCTGGGACAGCTGCATCTGGTGCGGGCCTCAGGCTGCTTCTACTCATGGTGGAAAAGCGGCAGGCAGCCAGTGGGTACAAGCAGATCATGGTGAGAGGAAGCAGGAGAGAGAGAGAGAGAGAGAGAGGAGGTGCCAGGGTCCTTTAAGCAATCAGGTCTCGAGGGAACTAATAGAGCGAGAACTCACTCACTACCCCTCCTCCCCCAGGGACAGCATTAATCCATTCATGAGGGATCCGCCCCCATGACTCAATCAGTTTCCAACACTGCCACACTGGGGATCAGATTTCCACATGAGTTTTGGAGGGAACAACACATCCAAACTCCATCAGAGGCTGAAGTCACATCCCCTGTCACACACACACACACAGGGTCGGTGTCCCCTTCTTCCAGGATTCACGTGCACCAGCAGGGAAGGCACCAGCCAGCCTGGGCTCTGAGAACTCTGGCTATGGGGATGGCAGGACAGGACGGCCAGCTTTTTGGAGGTCTGGGCCCCCCACGGTGAGAGGTGTCTTAGGCAGAATGTGAAAAATGAGAGACCTTTGTGTGGCCTTGCCAGGGAAACATGCAGTGGTAACGTCTCCCAGCCTGGCCTGGTCAGCAGGAGCAGGGGCCACACGCTGGGGTCCAGAGGTCTGGGGTAGACTTCAGGGGGTCCCATGGATCGTGATGGGGAAAAACTGCATGTTTATTTTCATTAATCCGTAATCTAATGAAAACTAATTTAGCATTTCCTCCAGTGAGAGATATGGAGTAGGTGTAGCAGCACCTGAACTTTGTCACCACTAGAGACCACAGACACTGCTATGACATTACAGTGGTTGCAGACAGCACAGAATGTCATTTATATCCAGCCCCTGAGATTTAACTCCCGCCTCAGACACGAGTCTTCAGGGCACATCAATGCTACTTCCCCAAGGCAGTGACCATGGGGGCTGCCCAGCCTCCCCTTGCCAGCACTTAGCACCACTACCTGTGCCAAGCAGGTGTGTGCAGGTGGCCCTGGACCCTCACTCTCCTGTATGATAAACACAGCAGGCCTCATGCAAGCTTGAGCAGGGAACCGTGTGCAGCACGACGTTATGTGTTTTTGTTGCGTTCATTTTTTGTCACCTGTTTGTGGCTATATTACTGGTTTCCTATTTGATTGTAGTAATGCAGTTTGCCTTTTCAAACTGCAAATTTATTTAAATCATTCTCTTTAAGCAAGTTAATAGCACAGCTGCTAGTGGTAAAAGTTAGTGCTAAAATGGTAAAAATAGCACACGAGCTAAGAGTAAAAATCGCGAGGGCAGATGGCTGAAGTTCAGAAACTGAGTAGAGGCTTGTAGGTGTTGTCACAGCCCTGGGAAGCAAGGACCCAAGAGGGCAGATGGTTCCTCCAGAATCTGCCAGTACTCAGCACCCGGATCCCTCTGCTGTGGGGTTCTGGCGGGGGTCAGGGGCACTGGTTGGAATGGAATTGCTGGATAGGTTGAACACCTGTTCACACCACAGTGCAGCCGAGAGCTTACCCATTTCCCACAGCACATCTGCAGAGCAGGAGCTGGTGGGCACCCCTCCTCCTGGGACTCGAGTAGCAGAGTCCAGCCCACCCCACCCTAGGGATTGCTGGGTCCTCCTTGCACATGAGGAGAGCCCCTTGGAAGCAACTCTCGACTGTTGTATTGATAAGTACAGGTGGGGAACGGGCCAGTGACAGCCAGACCACCACTCTGCCACCCTCTGGGGGAGATTCTGCACATTGTCACCTGGTCCTCTGGGGCCTGCATGCCCAGCGGCCCTTCAGAGCCCTGAGGATCAGCCCCCATCCTGGTCTCAGAACCCAAGGCTCTTGGTGGTTGACCCCACCTACCAGATGCGTTCCTGCTCAGACTTCACTGCCAGAGCGTGATATGCAGCCTCTCCAGGACTCCTCCTGGGGTCTCCCTTCCTCTGGGTTTCATTGCACAGCCAGGCTGGACTGCTCACCAGATCCCTAGAGACCTCAGACCCTCGTGGAGAGCTCTCGTCTCATTTGTTACACTTGACTTTAAGCTTCCCAAGGGCAGGGACTTCTTAGACTCTCCTTTTGGGCAAATGAAGCCTGCAGTGGGGGGTTATTGACTCTGCTTATAGGATTTCTGGGATGGAAAGGACCCTACCCCAGCCAGGCACCTCCTAGGATAGCCCAGGGACATCCAAGCTCTTCCTGTGGGGCCTCAGTGACTGAGCTACAGACTCTGCTCTCTGTTCTCATTTTGCTCCTGGAGAGTTGCCCCTGATAGTCCAACTGACCTTCCAGGTATCTCATGATATATGCATCTGTCCCCAGGCTGAACAGCTTCAATTCTCTGAAAAATGCATATTGAAGGGCTGCTTGATTCTCTATGAATGACCTGGGGAATCCCAGCAATACAAAATTAAGTATTCCCCAAGGATTCCGAGTCACCGAGTTTATACTGTACTACCCTGTGTTTCCAGGTCATAAGTATTTTTGTGTCCTAGCCTAGGAGCCCAGCCTTGGTTTATTACGCTGTTTCTTTGGGAAACAAAAACATATGGTTGTCTTAGTCTGCTCAGGCTGCCATACCACAGACTGAGGGGCTTAAACAACAGACATCTTTTTTTCACAATTCTGGAGGCTGGAAAGTCCAAGATCATGGTGCCTGCAAGGTTGGTCTCATTCTGTGGCCTCTTCTCTTGGTTTATAGGCAGCCACGTTCTTGCTGTGTGCTCACTTGACCTCTTTGTATATGCAGAGAGAGATTGCTCTGACCTCTTTTCCTCTTCTTATAGGACACTAATCTTATCGGATCAGGGCCCCATTTTTGTGACTGGATTTAACCTTAATTACCTCTGTAAAGACCCTGTCTCCAGATATATTCACATTGGGGGTTATGGCTTCAACATATGAATTTGGGGGGACACAAACATTCAGTCCACAACATACGGATTATTAAATAATTTTGGCACATGAGCTATTTGTAAGATGGAAACTATCTATACTTGTTTCTACTTGCACGCACATACTTTAAAACTAAAATGAAGTGAATACCAAATACATATGGAGAGAGAAACAAGGAAGAGGGAAGGAACCAGGATGTATTTGTGGTGGAAAACTTTGAGAAAGGAATAACCTACTGCTCCCTTTCCTGGGCTCCACACAAGCTCACAAGGAGACAGAGCCCACACGGGGCTTCCCGCCCTAAAGCATCAGAATCACAGGCTATGGACAGACAGAAGACACTGATGAACACACTGGACCAGCTGCACAAGGGCCAGTCAGCCAGACGGATGCCAAGGGCCACAGAGCTCTTGGTTTAGAGCTCAAGAGCACAGGACCACAGAAAAAGAGAAAAAGGCAAACAACAGATGAAATAAAAATGAAATAGCAAGGTGATATACTCAAACCTGACTATATCAATAACCACATTTTATAATTGTATGTAAATGGCATAATCACTTCAGTTAAAAGAAATTGTCAGATTGGATTTAAAAAAACAGCAAGACTCAATTATATGTTGCCTGTAATAAACATACTTTAAATATAAAGGCACATAGTTTAAGGTTAAAGGGTGGACAAAGATATCCCATCCTAACATTAACTGAAGGGAAGCTGCAGTGGCTCTGTTAACTTCAAACAATGGAGATTCCATAGTGAAGCTTATTACCAGGACAAAGATGATAATTTCATAATGTTAAAGGGGTTAACTCATCAAGAAAACATGACTCTAATAACAGAGCTTCAAAATACATGATGAAAATGGATAGAACTGCAAAGAGAAACAGACATTCATAATTATAGTCATATATTTCAATATTTCTCTATCAATAATTGATAGAACAAGCAGACAGAAAAACATTGTGATATAGAGTCTGTCTCCAATATTTGATGTTTGCTGACACCTTTTAACCCGCGTCCTCCGTCTTCCCCTTCTGTCCCACCTTTGGGCAAGCTGAGAAGAAAGCCTGGGTGCTCCTCCCATTGGCACCAGTGGGAGATTCAAACCGTGCAGGCCGCGGCCCACACACGGGTACCGTCAGCCTCCCCCACCCCCTAACTACTGTAGAAACCCCAAGCCAATCTCCTTTCCCCACTCCCTCAATTCCTTTTGGACCTGCTTGGGAGCCATCCTACTCTCCCCAGAAAACCTCATTACGCAAGTAACAAATCATTTCTTTCCCTTTTGGGGGGTTAGGGGGGTTGTACGTGTGTGTGAAGTCATCAGTCTCAACATCCAAACCAAATTTCATTTGCTTTCTGTTTCTGTGGAGTGACCACAATAATCACTAAGAATATGGAAGACTCGAGCATCACTATCAACCACCTTGGCCTGACTGATATTTCTAGAATACTCTACCCAGAGCAAAAACATTCTTTTCATGTGCTCATGGACCATTTACAAAGATAGATCATATTCTGGGCCATAAAAATCAGTAACAATACATTTGGAAAGATTCAAGACATACAAACGATATTCTCTGACCACAATGGAATTAAATTTAAAATCAATAACAGATCTCTGGAAAATACCCAAATGAAACAACATACTTCTTCTTTTTTTTTTTTTTTTTTGTCTTTTTCGTGACTGGTAAGGGAATCGCAACCCTTGGCTTGGTGTTGCCCGCACTGTGCTCAGCCAGTGAGCACACTGGCCATTCCTATATAGGATCC